AGTGACCCACATGGCACCATGTCTCAACTCATGTCACTATCAGCACATGCTGGATGAAGGGTGGAACCGTGAGTGACCCACATGGCACCATGTCTCAACTCATGTCACTATCAGCACATGCTGGATGAAGGGTGGAACCGTGAGTGACCCACATGACACCATGTCTCAACTCATGTCACTATCAGCACATGCTGGATGAAGGGTGGAACCGTAAGTGACCCACATGGCACAAAGTCTCAACTCATGTCACTATCAGCACATGCTGGATGAAGGGTGGAACCGTGAGTGACCCACATGACACCATGTCTCAACTCATGTCACTAACTATCAGCACATGCTGGATGAAGGGTGGAACCGTGAGTGACCCACATGACACCATGTCTCAACTCATGTCACTAACTATCAGCACATGCTGGATGAAGGGTGGAACCGTGAGTGACCCACATGGCACCATGTCTCAACTCATGTCACTATCAGCACATGCTGGATGAAGGGTGGAACCGTGAGTGACCCACATGGCACCATGTCTCAACTCATGTCACTAACTATCAGCACATGCTGGATGAAGGGTGGAACCGTGAGTGACCCACATGGCACCATGTCTCAACTCATGTCACTATCAGCACATGCTGGATGAAGGGTGGAACCGTAAGTGACCCACATGGCACAAAGTCTCAACTCATGTCACTATCAGCACATGCTGGATGAAGGGTGGAACCGTGAGTGACCCACATGGCACCATGTCTCAACTCATGTCACTATCAGCACATGCTGGATAAAGGGTGGAACTGTGAGTGACCCACATGACACCATGTCTCAACTCATGTCACTATCAGCACATGCTGGATAAAGGGTGGAACTGTGAGTGACCCACATGGCACCATGTCTCAACTCATGTCACTAACTATCAGCACATGCTGGATGAAGGGTGGAACCGTAAGTGACCCACATGGCACAAAGTCTCAACTTATGTCACTATCAGCACATGCTGGATGAAGGGTGGAGCCGTGAGTGACCCACATGACACCATGTCTCAACTCATGTCACTAACTATCAGCACATGCTGGATGAAGGGTGGAACCGTGAGTGACCCACATGGCACAAAGTCTCAACTCATGTCACTATCAGCACATGCTGGATGAAGGGCGGAACCGTGAGTGACCCACATGGCACCATGTCTCAACTCATGTCACTATCAGCACATGCTGGATGAAGGGTGGAACCGTGAGTGACCCACATGGCACCATGTCTCAACTCATGTCACTATCAGCACATGCTGGATGAAGGGCGGAACCGTGCGTGACCCACATGGCACCATGTCTCAACTCATGTCCTGTGTTGCATGGGAGGACTGTGTGAACTGTCGTCTATCATCAGACGAAGACACTTCCTGCATACACCAACACAAACAAATCATGTCTCAGATGGACATTGAAGGCAGCCTTATTCTAAATCTGTCATGGACAACTGTGAAAAACTGCTCTTAAATCTACCTGCACAGAGAGCGAAGCAGGGAAATCTACCTGCAGAGTGAAGGAGTCAAGTAAAAGTGGAGGATCTAGTTAGACTTTCAGTGCATCGACATGCTGCAGCTGGTCAGTGTGTGCTGGAAGCTGCATAGATCATAGCTGGTCACAGATGAATGAATTACAACAAGGAGACTGGAAAACTGTAACCTAAGACATCAATCCCAATGTTCTTGTCATACTGGTCCTACCAAATACACAAGCAACAAGTAAACCCAGATGTCTGTTGTCCCTGTGACCCACCCCTACATGACCACAGTCAGTAGAACATCCTGCAGTCATCAGAAGCAGTAACCCCCCCCCCCCCCCCAGTCAGTAGAACATCCTGAAGCCATCAGAAGCAGTAACCCCCCCCCACCCCCACCCCTCCATGACCACAGTCAGTAGAACATCCTGCAGCCATCAGAAGCAGTAACCCCCCCCCCCCCCTCCCCTCCATGACCACAGTCAGTAGAACATCCTGCAGCCATCAGAAGCAGTAACCCCCCCCCCCCCCCCCCTCCAAGACCACAGTCAGTAGAACATCCTGCAGCCATCAGAAGCAGTAAAGAAGCAACCATGAACTTGTGTATCAAAACTTCTTAACACCAGTAAATGACCTTAAATGTTCAGTTGTAACCATGGTAACAGATTGGACGGAGTAGATTAAAGCTGGGACACTTGTAATCAATCACATTGAAGAATAAGGTTCTCAAATCTGACTGATCATCATCTGAATGCAGCACCTATGACAGGGACAATATGTGTACACAGCCTGACAGGTCACTTAAATGGCCAAAAACAGTTTTTTATAACTTTCTTCACTTTAAAAAATGTAAAAATGTTGGTCTTTACTCAAGTTATTGTCTGCAAAGGTGGGCATCTAAATTCAGTCAACATCCGTGAATCATACAGTATCTACAAAGCTGTTTTCCTAACCAGAACCTGAAGCATGTTCAGGACACGTAGGCCAGCCCTGATTGTCTGTATGCCAGGAGACTGGTGAACGATGCAGTGAAAGGCCAGCCCTGAGTGTCTGTATGCCAGGAGACTGGTGAACGATGCAGTGAAAGGCCAGCCCTGATTGTCTGTATGCCAGGAGACTGGTGAACGATGCAGTGAAAGGCCAGCCCTGAGTGTCTGTATGCCAGGAGACTGGTGAACGATGCAGTGAAAGGCCAGCCCTGAGTGTCTGTATGCCAGGAGACTGGTGAACGATGCAGTGAAAGACCAGTCCTGAGTGTCTGTATGCCAGGAGACTGGTGAACGATGCAGTGAAAGGCCAGCCCTGATTGTCTGTATGCCAGGAGACTGGTGAACGATGCAGTGAAAGGCCAGCCCTGATTGTCTGTATGCCAGGAGACTGGTGAACGATGCAGTGAAAGGCCAGTCCTGAGTGTCTGTATGCCAGGAGACTGGTGAACGATGCAGTGAAAGGCCAGTCCTGAGTGTCTGTATGCCAGGAGACTGGTGAACGATGCAGTGAAAGGCCAGTCCTGAGTGTCTGTATGCCAGGAGACTGGTGAACGATGCAGTGAAAGGCCAGTCCTGAGTGTCTGTATGCCAGGAGACTGGTGAACGATGCAGTGAAAGGCCAGCCCTGATTGTCTGTATGCCAGGAGACTGGTGAACGATGCAGTGAAAGGCCAGCCCTGATTGTCTGTATGCCAGGAGACTGGTGAACGATGCAGTGAAAGGCCAGTCCTGAGTGTCTGTATGCCAGGAGACTGGTGAACGATGCAGTGAAAGGCCAGTCCTGAGTGTCTGTATGCCAGGAGACTGGTGAACGATGCAGTGAAAGGCAAGTCCTGAGTGTCTGTATGCCAGGAGACTGGTGAACGATGCAGTGAAAGGCCAGCCCTGATTGTCTGTATGCCAGGAGACTGGTGAACGATGCAGTGAAAGGCCAGCCCTGATTGTCTGTATGCCAGGAGACTGGTGAACGATGCAGTGAAAGGCCAGTCCTGATTGTCTGTATGCCAGGAGACTGGTGAACGATGCAGTGAAAGGCCAGTCCTGAGTGTCTGTATGCCAGGAGACTGGTGAACGATGCAGTGAAAGGCCAGTCCTGAGTGTCTGTATGCCAGGAGACTGGTGAACGATGCAGTGAAAGGCCAGCCCTGATTGTCTGTATGCCAGGAGACTGGTGAACGATGCAGTGAAAGGCCAGCCCTGATTGTCTGTATGCCAAATGACTGGTGAACGATGCAGTGAAAGGCCAGCCCTGATTGTCTGTATGCTAGGTGATCGGTGAACGATGCAGTGAAAGGCCAGCCCTGATTGTCTGTATGCCAAATGACTGGTGAACGCTGCAGTGAAAGACCGTTTGTACAAGACCAGGGTTATCAGACTGGTTGACATAATAACAAGTGGCATCACATCTAAACAAGTCTAATAATAAAATTATAATCTTCGTAACTGTCAGTTTGCAACATCTGAAGGCAATATGAGACGATCTGACGCGGATGTCACAGGTTAATCTGCTCATCCTGTCTGACAGACTAGAACTCAGCTGTCATAATTAAAATCAGTACTTGGTATGATGGATTACTTCTCATTTCAGACTGAGAATGAATCCATTAAATGACATGTAAAGGTCCATGATAATGGACAACAAGTCAATAATGATCGTGTTATAATCTCGCATATTTTATTTAAACAAACATCACAAACAAAAAGCAGTCAATGTTCAACATCTTCTTCTTTGTTTGTAGACATGATAGGTGCAAAACTTCCAATCTATGACTTCTACTAACCCCTCACTGATTATAATATTCATAATTATCATCATCGTCACCACCCCCTCAGCAACATGTAACAAGCATACTGTAAGCCAAACACTTGACCTTGACCTTGGCACAGCACGTCATGATGTTCTCAGTGTCACTACAGTGTTAGTTTGCGCGGGTGCATCGGGGGCACGGGACAGTCGTGTAAACAGCTTCACTTCCCTGTGCACCCCTCGGGCACACCAGACACCTATAATTGTGGGTTTGAATCTTGGTGCTCCACGATTATGTTTCCAGATTTGTCAGCACCACACCCTGTGCTCGTGGGTTTCACCGAAGTGATCAATGTTTGAGACCTCCCACAATAAGCCGACACGCCGTGATATAACTGAATACTGTTCAAAGCGGTGCTAAATTCAACTCACTCGCTCACAGTAGTGCATCATGCGTAATGTGTTTCTGTAGCGGAGCTCAGCAGTATCTAACATCAGCTTCATTAAGTTAAATTACACTCCTCTCTCTCACTCAGCATGAAACATCGTGTGTAAATCTGGACCACACAACTGACATTCTACGTAGGGGAAGGATGCAACAAACTTACACACACTGAATGTGTGGGTGAGTGACTGAATGTGTGGGTGAGTGACTGAATGTGTAGGTGAGTGACTGAATGTGTGGGTGGGTGTGAGGAATGTGTGGGTCAGTCACTCACCCACACATTCACACCCACACATTCACACCCACACCCACACATTCACACACCCACCCACCCACACATTCACACACCCACCCACACATTCAGTCACTCACCCACACATTCACACCCACACCCACACATTCACACACACACCCACACACACACCCACACATTCACCAGATATCACAGACTAATCCTTCCCAGCATCTTTTCTCTTCCTCGTGGTACTACTTTCATTATTGTCTCTATTTTTCACTTCTTCTCCACTCTTCTCCTCAGACTCTTCCTCCGCTTTCTCCTCTGCTTTCTTCTCTCCCTTCCTGAAAAATGCCTTGACCTTGGCCAGGAGGCCCTTCTTCTTGCTGGGGTCAGAGACGATGAAGCGCCTGGTGGTGAGGTTGTGGATGGAGCCGAACGCGATGGCGACGACGGTGCAGGCTAGGCAGATGACGTTGTAGGGCATGCTGAAATCCGGGGTTGGGAGCGACACCAGCAGTGACTCTGTGTGTATTCTCAGGAAGAACTGGTCTGATTCATCCTTCATGCTGAAAATATCAATCAGCTTCATCAAAACTAGACATGGAAAACTTCCCCGACTGTGACAGTTTACTTTCTTTGCAGAGTTACTCTCTGTAAGACTACACATCCATCCTGAGAATATCAACCAGCTTCATCAAAACTAGACATGGAAAACTTGCCCGACTGTGACAGTTAACTTTCTTTACAAGAGTTACTCTGTGAGACTACACATCCATCCTGAGAATATCAACCAGCTTTGTGCAAACATAGCCATTGCAAAATAACATCATCCGGTGAGCGGTAACACTTATCTCCCTTTGCAGAAGATACAGTTCCAGATGATAGGTAGCACCATGATAGAGATGAGTTATCTCACCTGCTAGAGATGAGACTGAGTTATCTCACCCTGCTTCAGATGAGTTATCTCACCCTGATAGAGATGAGACAGAGTTATCTCACCCTGACAGAGATGAGTTATCTCACCCTGTTAGAGATGAGTTATCTCACCCTGTTAGAGATGAGTTATCGCATGTTGCTAGAGATGAGTTATCTCACCCTGCTAGAGATGAGACTGAGTTATCTCACCCTGATCTCACCCTGACAGAGATGAGTCTGAGTTATCTCACCCTGTTAGAGATGAGTTATCTCACCCTGCTAGGGATGAGTTATCTCACCTTGCTAGAGATGAGTTATCTCACCCTGCTAGAGATGAGACTGATTTATCTCACCCTGCTAGACATGAGTCTGAATTATCTCACCCTAATAGAGATGAGTTATCTCACCCTGCTAGAGATGAGTTTTCTCACCCTGCTAGAGATGAGAGTTATCTCACCTTGTTCCAAAGACAGATGATTCCTGGCCGGGGGAGGTATAGTTGCTGGCGTCAGTGAGCACCGTGGAGATTATGGCGGAGTTGATGGGGAAACCATGGTTAGCATCTGGGGGGTATTCTGTCCACTTGAGAAATGCTCGCTCAAACTCATAGCTTATTGTTGTCACCGAGTTCGCTCGGAGCCGGAACACAATCTCAAACTGGTAAGATCTACTTCTGTCTTTGCCGGGGATGTAGTGGATTTTGACTGAAGAAAAAACAACAACCTTACACTTAATTAATCAGGTCATGAATATGGTTGCACATATTATTTCATAACACTGAAGCACATAAACCTGGTGGTGGAGCTGCACACAAGACACGATGATGGGGAGAGTGTTGGGGACGAGGCGGGGCCTGCTCACAGTGTCTGGTGGTGGTGGTGGGGTACTCGCAGTGCTTGATGGTGGTGGTGAGTGATGGTAGTGGGGGGGTGATGGTGGTGGTGGTGGGGGTGATAGTGGTTGTGGGGGGGGTGATAGTGGTTGTGGGGGGTAATGGTGGTGGGGGGTGATGGTGGTGGTGATGATGGTTGTGGTTGTGGGGGGTGATGGTGATGGGGGGTGATGGTGGTTGTGGGGGAGTGGTGGTGGTGGTGGGAGGTGATTGTGGTGGGTGATGGTGGTGGGGGGTGATGGTGGTGGTGGTGGTGGTGTGTGTGTGGTGGTGGTGATGATGGTTGTGGTTGTAGGGGGGTGATGGTGGTGGGGGGTGATGGTGGTGGTGAGTGATGGTAGTGGGGTGGTGGTGGTGGTGGGGGTGATAGTGGTTGTGGTGGGGGTGATAGTGGTTGTAGGGGGGGTGATAGTGGTTGTGGGGGGTAATGGTTGTGGGGGGTGATGGTGGTGGTGGTGGTGTGTGGGGGGTGGTGGTGATGATGGTTGTGGTTGTGGGGGGTGATGGTGGTGGGGGGGTGATGTGGTGGTGGGGGGGTGATGGTTGTGGTTGTGGGGGGTGATGGTGATGGGGGGTGATGGTGGTGGTGGTGGTGTGTGTGTGGTGGTGGTGATGATGGTGGTGGTTGTAGGGGGGCGATGGTGGTGGTGGGGGGGTGATGGTGGTGGTGGGTAATGGTGTTTGGGGGTAATGGTGGTGGGGGGGTGATGGTGGTGGTGGTGGTGGGGGGGGGTGATGGTGGTTGTGGGGATGATGGTGGTTGGGGGTGATGGTTGTGGTGGATGATGGTTGATGGTGGGTGTGTTGTTGTGGGGGCGTGATGGTGGGGGGTGATGGTGGTGGTGGTGATGATGGTGGTGGTTGTGGGGGGTGATGTGGTGGGGGCGGGTAGGTACTCACAGGGTCGGATGGTGGTGCCATTGTTGTTGATGGTGAGTGACTTGTAGAAGACTCGCATGAACCACGGCAAGGTATCCATGTAGATCACCGTCAAGTTGGACGACAGCGTGTTGTGGACTTCACACATCACACCTCCTCTCTCGAGGCCATAACCTGTCGACAAAGACAGTAGAAGCTGACACAATGATATCACAGTATCTACATACATGCACTACTGAGTGGCTGATACTGTGGGGGGTTCTGTGTGTCTGTGAGAGAGGTGGTTGTGTGTTTGTGAGAGAGGTGGTTGTGTGTCTGTGAGAGAGGTGGTTGTGTGTCTGTGAGAGAGGTTGTTGTGTGTCTGTGAGAGAGGTGGTTGTCTCTGTGAAGGAGGTGGTGGAGTGTCTGTGAGAGAGGTGGTTGTGTGTTTTTTAGAGAGGTGGTTGTGTGTCTGTGAAGGAGGTGGTTGTGAGTCTGTGAGAGAGGTGGTTGTGTGTCTGTGAGAGAGGTGGTTGTGTGTCTGTGAGAGAGGTGTTTGTGTGTCTGTGAGAGAGGTGTTTGTGTGTCTGTGAGAGAGGTGGTTGTGTGTCTGTGAGAGAGGTGGTTGTGTCTGTGAGAGAGGTGGTTGTGTGTCTGTGAGAGAGGTGGTTGTGTGTCTGTGAGGGAGGTGGTTGTGAGAGAGGTGGTTGTGTGTCTGTGAGAGAGGTGGTTGTGTGTCTGTGAGAGAGGTGGTTGTGAGTCTGTGAGAGAGGTGTTTGTGTGTCTGTGAGGGAGGTGGTTGTGTGTCTGTGAGAGAGGTGGTTGTGTGTCTGTGAGAGAGGTGGTTGTGTGTCTGTGAGAGAGGTGGTTGTGTGTCTGTGAGAGAGGTGGTTGTGAGAGAGGTGGTTGTGTGTCTGTGAGAGAGGTGGTTGTGTGTCTGTGAGAGAGGTGGTTGTGAGTCTGTGAGAGAGGTGGTTGTGTGTCTGTGAGAGAGGTGGTTGTGTGTCTGTGAGAGAGGTGGTTGTGTGTCTGTGAGAGAGGTGGTTGTGTGTCTGTGAGAGAGGTTGTTGTGTGTCTGTGAGAGAGGTGGTTGTGTGTCTGTGAGAGAGGTGGTTGTGTGTCTGTGAGAGAGGTGGTTGTGTGTCTGTGGTTGTGTGTCTGTGAGAGAGGTGGTTGTGTGTCTGTGAGAGAGGTGGTTGTGTGTCAGTGAGAGAGGTGTTTGTGTGTCTGTGAGAGAGGTGGTTGTGTGTCTGTGAGAGAGGTGGTTGTGTGTCTGTGAGAGAGGTGGTTGTGAGTCTGTGAGAGAGGTGGTTGTGTGTATGTGAGAGAGGTGGTTGTCTCTGTGAAGGAGGTGGTGGAGTGTCTGTGAGAGAGGTGGTTGTGTGTCTGTGAGAGAGGTGGTTGTGAGTCTGTGAGAGAGGTGGTTGTGAGTCTGTGAGAGAGGTGGTTGTGTGTCTGTGAGAGAGGTGGTTGTGAGTCTGTGAGAGAGGTGGTTGTGTGTATGTGAGAGAGGTGGTTGTCTCTGTGAAGGAGGTGGTGGAGTGTCTGTGAGAGAGGTGGTTGTGTGTCTGTGAGAGAGGTGGTTGTGAGTCTGTGAGAGAGGTGGTTGTGTGTATGTGAGAGAGGTGGTTGTCTCTGTGAGTGTCTGATACTGACCTGTGATGTATCGCTGAGTAAACAATGGGGGAGGCTGAATGTCGAAGAAGGTGAGTGCTCTATCAAATCTAGCTGCAATGTTGAGGATCTTCCCACTGGAGGTAGCTTCACCAACATCATACACTGCGTACATCCTTGAATCTCCGCCACGAACAAACGTCTCTCGACGGGTCGGCTCCGGTGTCAGCTTGAACTTCTTTGCCTGCAACAAAAAACATGGTTACCATGGTTTCCAGAGTTAGGAATCCTGATGACAGCTTACAACAGAACAATGTGACCCCGTGGTGTGTGCAACTTACGTCCTGGTCCGAGACATCCACGTACACGGCACTGATGCTGGACAGCGGACACTGAGTGGACAGGGAGTGGCCGAACACACTCTTCAATGACCAATCTAAACACAAAGTACAACAAGTCAGTACTTGGCATGATTATAAGTTATGATGATGTTGGTGATGAATGATGTTGTGATGAAAGATGCTGGTGATGAATGATGTTGTGATGAATGATGCTGATGCTGAATGATGTTGCGATGAATGGTGTTGTGATGAGTGATGATGATGCTGAATGATGTTGTGATGAATGATGCTGATGATGAATGATGTTGTGATGAATGAAGTTGTGATGAATGATGTTGTAATGAATGATGTTGTGATGAATGATGTGATGAATGTTGTTGTGATGAATGATGTTGGTGATGAATGAAGTTGTGATGAATGATGTTGTAATGAATGATGTTGTGATGAATGATGTTGTGATGAATGAAGTTGTGATGAATGATGTTGTAATGAATGATGTTGTGATGAATGATGTGATGAATGATGTTGGTAAAGAATGATGTGATGAATGATGCTGTGATGAATGATGTTGTGGTGAATGATGCTGGTGATGAATGATGTTGTGATGAATGATGATGTGATGAATGATGTGATGAATGATGTGATGAGAGATGTGATGAATGATGTGATGAATGATGTGATGAATGATGTTGTGATGAATGAAGTTGTGATGAATGATGTTGTGATGAATGATGTTGCGATGCATGATGTTGTGATGAAATGATGTTGTGATGAATGATGGGATGAATGATGTGATGAATGATGTGATGAATGATGTGATGAATGATGTTGTGATGAATGAAGTTGTGATGAATGATGTTGTGATGAATGATGTTGTGATGAATGATGTTGTGATGAATGAAGTTGTGATGAATGATGTTGTGCTGAATGAAGTTGTGATGAATGATGTTGTGATGAATGATGTTGTGATGAATGATGTTCAGATGAAATGATGTTGTGATGAATGATGTTGTGATGAAATGATGTTGTGATGAATGATGTTGTGATGAATGAAGTTGTGATGAATGATGTTGTGATGAATGATGTTGTGATGAATGAAGTTGTGATGAATGATGTTGTGATGAATGAAGTTGTGATGAATGATGTTGTGATGAATGATGTTGTGATGAAATGATGTTGTGATGAATGATGTTGTGATGAATGAAGTTGTGATGAATGATGTTGTGATGAATGATGTTGTGATGAAATGATGTTGTGATGAATGATGTTGTGATGAATGAAGTTGTGATGAATGATGTTGTGATGAATGATGTGATGAATGATGCTGGTGATGAATGATGTTGTGATGAATGATGATGTGATTAATGATGTGATGAATGATGTTGGGATGAATGATTGGATGAATGATGTGATGAATGATGCTGGTGATGAATGATGTTGCGATGAATATTGTTGATAATGAATGATGTGATGAATGATGCCAGTGATGAGTGCCATGTAACCTTACATTGTACATTGTTCACAGACTCAGATGGCCTGATACTGTACTTACTGGATAGCATGATGCTGTACTTACTGGGATGGCCTGATGCTGTACTTACTGGGATGGCCTGATACTCTACTTACTGGGATGGCCTGATGCTGTACTTACTGGGATGGCCTGATACTCTACTTACTGGGATAGCCTGATACTCTACTTACTGGGATAGCCTGACACTCTACTTACTGGGATAGCCTCCGTTGATGACCGTTGTGTCCACCACCAGGGAGAGACTGATATTCTACTTACTGGGATAGCCTGATACTGTACTTACTGGGATAGCCTGATACTCTACTTACTGGGATAGCCTGATACTCTACTTACTGGGATAGCCTGACACTCTACTTACTGGGATAGCCTGACACTCTACTTACTGGGATAGCCTCCGTTGATGACCGTTGTGTCCACCACCAGGGAGAGACTGATATTCTACTTACTGGGATAGCCTGATACTGTACTTACTGGGATAGCCTGATACTGTACTTACTGGGATAGCCTGATACTCTACTTACTGGGATAGCCTGATACTCTACTTACTGGGATAGCCTGACACTCTACTTACTGGGATAGCCTGCGTTGATGACCGTTGTGTCCACCACCAGGGAGAGACTGATACTCTTCTTACTGGGATAGCCTGATACTGTACTTACTGGGATAGCCTGATACTCTACTTACTGGGATAGCCTGATACTCTACTTACTGGGATGGCCTGACACTCTACTTACTGGGATAGCCTGATACTCTACTTACTGGGATAGCCTGATACTCTACTTACTGGGATAGCCTGATACTCTACTTACTTGGATAGCCTGATACTCTACTTACTGGGATAGCCTGATGCTCTACTTACTGGGATAGCCTGATACTCTACTTACTGGGATAGCCTGCGTTGATGACCGTTGTGTCCACCACCAGGGATGGCCTGATCCTGTACTTACTGGGATAGCCTGACACTCTACTTACTTGGATAGCCTGATACTCTACTTACTGGGATAGCCTGCGTTGATGACCGTTGTGTCCACCACCAGGGAGAGACTGATATTCTACTTACTGGGATAGCCTGACACTCTACTTACTGGGATGGCCTGATGCCCTACTTACTGGGATGGCCTGATGCCCTACTTACTGGGATAGCCTGACACTTGACTTACTGTGGTAGCCTGACACTCTACTTACTGGGATAGCCTGATACTCTACTTACTGGGATAGCCTGATACTCTACTTACTGGGATAGCCTGACACTCTACTTACTGGGATAGCCTGATACTCTACTTACTGGGATAGCCTGACACTCTACTTACTGGGATAGCCTGACACTCTACTTACTGGGATAGCCTGACACTCTACTTACTGGGATAGCCTGATACTCTACTTACTTGGATTGCCTGACACTCTACTTACTGGGATGGCCTGATACTGTACTTACTGGGATAGCCTGACACTCTACTTACTGGGATAGCCTGACACTCTACTTACTGGGATAGCCTGTTACTCTACTTACTGGGATAGCCTGATACTCTACTTACTGGGATAGCCTGATACTCTACTTACTGGGATAGCCTGACACTCTACTTACTGGGATAGCCTGCGTTGATGACCGTTGTGTCCACCACCAGGGAGAGACTGATACTCTTCTTACTGGGATAGCCTGACACTCTACTTACTGGGATGGCCTGATGCCCTACTTACTGGGATAGTCTGACACTCTACTTACTGGGATAGCCTGATACTCTACTTACTGGGATAGCCTGACACTCTACTTACTGGGATAGCCTGATACTCTACTTACTGGGATAGCCTGATACTCTACTTACTGGGATAGCCTGATACTCTACTTACTGGGATAGCCTCACACTCTACTAACTGGGATAGCCTCACACTCTACTAACTGGGATAGCCTGCTTTGATGACCGTTGTGTCCACCACCAGGGATAGCCTGATACTCTACTTACTGGGATAGCCTGACACTCTACTTACTGGGATAGCCTGACACTCTACTTACTGGGATAGCCTGATACTCTACTAACTGGGATAGCCTCACACTCTACTAACTGGGATAGCCTGCTTTGATGACCGTTGTGTCCACCACCAGGGATAGCCTGACACTCTACTTACTGGGATAGCCTGATACTCTACTAACTGGGATAGCCTCACACTCTACTAACTGGGATAGCCTGCTTTGATGACCGTTGTGTCCACCACCAGGGATAGCCTGATACTCTACTTACTGGGATAGCCTGACACTCTACTTACTGGGATAGCCTGACACTCTACTTACTGGGATAGCCTGACACTCTACTTACTGGGATACCCTCACACTCTACTTACTGGGATAGCCTGATACTCTACTAACTGGGATAGCCTCACACTCTACTAACTGGGATAGCCTGCTTTGATGACCGTTGTGTCCACCACCAGGGATAGCCTGATACTCTACTTACTGGGATAGCCTGATACTCTACTAACTGGGATAGCCTCACACTCTACTAACTGGGATAGCCTGCTTTGATGACCGTTGTGTCCACCACCAGGGATAGCCTGATACTCTACTTACTGGGATAGCCTGATACTCTACTTACTGGGATAGCCTGACACTCTACTTACTGGGATAGCCTCACACTCTACTAACTGGGATAGCCTGCATTGATGACCGTTGTGTCCACCACCAGGGATAGCCTGATACTCTACTTACTGGGATAGCCTGACACTCTACTTACTGGGATAGCCTGACACTCTACTTACTGGGATAGCCTGCATTGATGACCGTTGTGTCCACCACCAGGGAGAGGCTGAGGCTGAGCTCTATAGCTTGTTGCCTGCACCCAGGATCCTGTCAAGTAAACATACCGCTGTCACAACAATACACTAATCATATCTCAGGATCCTGTCAAGTAAACATACCGCTGTCACAACAATACACTAATCATATCTCAGGATCCTGTCAAGTAAACATACCGCTGTCACAACAATACACTAATCACATCTCAGGATCCTGTCAAGTAAACATATCGCTGTCACAACAATACACTAATCATATCTCAGGATCCTGTCAAGTAAACATACTGCTGTCACAACAATACACTAATCATATCTCAGGATCCTGTCAAGTAACATACCGCTGTCACAACAATACACTAATCATATCTCAGGATCCTGTCAAGTAAACATACCGCTGTCACAACAATACACTAATCACATCTCAGGATCCTGTCAAGTAAACATACCGCTGTCATAACAAAACACTAATCATATCTCAGGATCCTGTCAAGTAAACATACCGTTGTCACAACAATACACTAATCACATCTCAGGATCCTGTCAAGTAAACATACCGCTGTCACAACAATACACTAATCATATCTCAGGATCCTGTCAAGTAAACATACCGCTGTCACAACAATACACTAATCATATCTCAGGATCCTGTCAAGTAAACATACCGCTGTCACAACAATACACTCATCACATCTCAGGATCCTGTCAAGTAAACATACCGCTGTCACAACAATACACTAATCATATCTCAGGATCCTGTCAAGTAAACATACCGCTGTCACAACAATACACTAATCATATCTCAGGATCCTGTCAAGTAAACATACCGCTGTCACAACAATACACTAATCATATCTCAGGATCCTGTCAAGTAAACATACCGCTGTCACAACAATACACTAATCACATCTCAGGATCCTGTCAAGTAAACATACCGCTGTCACAACAATACACTAATCATATCTCAGGATCCTGTCAAGTAAACATACCGCTGTCACAACAATACACTAATCACATCTCAGGATCCTGTCAAGTAAACATACCGCTGTCACAACAATACACTAATCATATCTCAGGATCCTGTCAAGTAAACATACCGCTGTCACAACAATACACTAATCATATCTCAGGATCCTGTCAAGTAAACATACCGTTGTCACAACAATACACTAATCATATCTCAGGATCCTGTCAAGTAAACATACCGTTGTCACAACAATACACTCATCACATCTCAGGAAAAGGCCAAATATACATTCTCACCAACATTATTCATTTATTACACACAAATCTATTGATGAGAGATGCTTACAACAACAGCAGATTAAGGCTGTGACTGCTGTGTCAAACTGAGGCTGATGTGAGTGTGTGTTGATGGGATAAGGATGTGTGAATTACTTTTCTAAAATGGTAACGTGATTTTTATTGAAAGATTTCAATTTTCTTGTGGCAGGTGTTACTAAATGTCAAATTGGTTATATACTTTAGGACGGCCCAACAACTGTCTTGTCAGCAATGTAGGTGATCATGAAGTTTCTATAATTAGTAACAAAGATATCATAGGGCTGATCCTGTTCTTAGATATAAACATATGAGCGTCACATGACATTGATAGCTTTGAGGAACAAGAGGGTTTTCCTGAGTAAATCCTTCCCACCAGCCCTCTCCCCTCTCATTTAGTTAGGGACTTTCTGAGCACCTAACATGTTACTTAAGAAGCAGAGTATGAGGTTATGATGTTGCTGAAACGTTTTCAGAGAACAGCTGACCTGGCAGACGGGCCGGATGTGCGTGGCCAGTGAATGGTAGGAGGCATCGTACAGCTTCACGGCCTTGAAGAGAGTTGCAAGCCCCACCTGGTGGTAGACGGACACAGGACATGTAGCAACAAGGAAAAAAACAGAAATCGTTGCAAATTTTGTCAGTTGAACAAACATTTCAAAACCATAATTACTCACACTGTTTCGTTGTTGCCCATGAAAGAGTCTGCGAAGGTTCTTAAAACAATCTCCCTGTCAGAACTACCATTGCACCATTGATTTTGTTTCGGAACTGACAGAGTGAGGATATTGACGTGGAAGTTATGTAGAGGGTCATGTGACAGGTCATGTGACAGGAATCCTACCTTGGTATTACAGGGGAGAAGCTTCTTCCATGGGGTGAGATTCTCGGTACACACAATCTCACTGGGGAGGGCGCCGTAACGGACAAACTTGGTGCTGTAGGTGTAGCCCTCGGTGGCCACACCTCGCGGACGGAAACTCCATCTTGGGGCAACGGTTGATTTTCCATCCAGGAAATTAAGTGAGGTACAGAACAGTCCTGACACAGCATTGACGAGCTCCGCCCACGTCTGGTCCACACTGGGAACAGAACATACAGAAGTCATACATGCTGTATTAGGAACCAATAAGTGTGGACAAGGTATGACACTAGAGGACTAGTGTTTTTTTGGCCAAAGATAAAAGAACCCACAAAAATCTTACTTTTTCACAGTTGGTTTGAACCAAACCCAGAACTCGGCTCCAGGTGGGGCATCTTCCACTGGGTACCCCCATTTCTCATGGCGCCAGAGGCCCTGGGTCTGAGACAGGTGTAGCTCCTGTACGCCATACGTTGAAACAACGTCGCCTAAAGACTTGGGGAACAGCCGATAGTGATGAACTGGAAGAAAATACAATAACTGAACAAGATGATTAATTATTTATCACTATTTAACTTTCCTGTGATTGTTATTGCTGACACATACACACCAATAAGGTCAATGCAAAGTGGTTACCTGATTATCCCGGTGATGATATGTTAGCAAGGTTACAGATACCAAGACCAAGATACCAAATTATCACACAAAAATAGCATAAATTAGTTACTTACAGTTTATGAATCTATAAAAGGGGATCAAACTCACTTGCAAGCTTGAAGTCAATCTACACTAATGAGTTAATCTAGTCAGCCAAAACTTGACCACCGGACCATGGGCGCTACACAAATTACTATTGCTTGTCTACCAAGTGACCAGCAACTGAATGTTTACCATTGTCATGTGTTTATGGGCATATGCAGAAGCCTTTTTTTCAAAGAAATTCGAACCTTGATAAAACTTGTATTTTTTTTCCTCAAATTACAATGGACTCATCCATTAAAAGAGATAGCTTACCCACAACTAACCCGAAGGATCACAAAGGGGTGTTTGGTTGAAAAGAGGTGTCCAACCTCAATTAATGAAGCAATGCTTGATTGAAAAGGGGATCCAAAGACTAAGGATAGAGTAAATTTCAGCAGTAGAAACAAACATATTTAGTCAACTAGTCGTTATAATGATAACATATAGCAAACCCCTTAAAAATGGCAAATGTCTACTAGTTCTTATGAAACCTTTACTATTGGGCAGTTTCGCCAGGACTACAGGACTAGAGCCAATTGCTAACACTGGAGTTGAGGGCGAACTACCCTTAGGGATCCTAACGATTGCGTAATGTTGCCTTCTAATCAATAAAAAGAAGACCACTATTAGATCTACCATTGAAAAAAGGTTCCACCCAAAAAGAAATTTAAAATATACACTCATTGCGGGATAAATGACTTTGATAGGTGTTGAGAATTAACTGTTATGTGAATGAAAGGGGGTAACTCTTGTATCTGTCTGTTACAGTTGGCTTATTCACCCACCTTAAAAAAATACAAAAACAGATTTTATTACCGAAATAATGCAATTAATATTTTCATGAAATATGTTTTCACCTCAGTACACAATAAGAATTACTTTGAATAATAAGAAAGCATTGTTTTATGAAAAATGAAAGACACCAAACTCTGCCCAAACAAGTCCATGGTCCACCACTGTATGGAGCTCAGGGGCGTCTGCTACACCAAAATATGATATTTCCTTACAACTATCGATGAATGACTTGGTCTTCATTACACAGTGGCCTCAGAAGAATAGTATTTAGAGTTATATCCCCTTACTTTCTTGACAACTTATTTTATAGCAGTTCGTGCCTAATGCACCTCAAATGAACTCACTATTTGGAAAATGATGCAGATAATGTAGGACTTTAAATCATACCTTCACCACACATTATGGATCTTTTTATCTTCCAAACCTAATAAAATAAAGTTACCATGGCTCAACAACTTGTGCATCCTATCACCAAACCAGTTACCACAAAGTGCATGTTTTGAATATAAAACCGATGCGCAAATATTAAGAGTGTATTTTAACATAAAATAGAAAGTAATAAACTCGAAGTTTTTCAGAGTGGTTTCAAGAGTGATTAAAGAATATCCATATCACTATTCACTACTGTTTATTTAACTGTTATTACTTTATGTCTATACATTATGTATATGTTTCTAATGTTTGGCATAACATTTCAACATATGTTTGAAGAAAATGGCAATCAACTTACAATCCATTTAGCATTCACTTATCTATTCATATGCCTGTGTTTCACAGCATCCTTCCAATGAAATGATTTGTTTGTTTGCTGTTTAACGCCGCACTCAGCAACATTCCAGCTATATGGCGCCGGCCTCTGAATACTCAAGTCTGGACCAGACAATCCTGTGATTAACATCATGAGCATCGATTCTACGCATTTGGGATACAATGACATGCACCAACCCTGTCAACAAGCCAGGCCACACAATCCCGTTAGTAGCCTCTGACGTGCATGGGTTGCTGTAGATCAACTTTAACCTGGATTTGATATTACCATGACAACTTGAGATACATATTGGTAATCATCTAGTCAGCAAAATACAGGTTTTAAATTTTGTACATGTTTACATAGTGTTTAGCTTCTGCAGAATTATGTCTCGATCTACATCTTCTTTTATCATGACATCATTTCTGTGAATCGAATATGCGCTCTCAACTTGATGACGTCATATATTGGATGACATTATTTCTTAAAGGGAAGTGTCCAGTGGGATTTCCCTATAGATGTAGCTGTGCCACACAGATAAAGGCAGTGGCAGAACGATCAAACCCAAAAGTGGGAGACATATATGACAATCAGTATTAGGAGAAATGGTACAGATAATCGACGTGAGCATTGCGAGAATATGCTGGAAATACCAAATTTTACCATGCACTTGTTCGTAACATGGACAAGTTTCCTTTTCGGTTTGCCATGACAATCTGATTGTTAATGTAGTGGTAAGTGCATATCATATCTTCTCAATTATTTATAATTAACACATCTATTTGTTAAAAACCTGCATACTTCATTATTAAATACATCCCTGTATTTATGATGTTGTTCACTAAACATCCATATATCATAATAAATTAAGTGACTTAGTATGATATTCAAAATGTACGTACCAAATACACACTTTTGCTTTTTCTATTTTCTTATGACTAAAAACTGTATGTATACCTATTTATACTTATAATGGTAATATTTCGGACAACGTTAAAAGGGGGAATTCCAGAAAAATTATTAATAGATACTACACGTACGGGACTAGTTGGTACACAGTTTTGAAGTTTGCACGAGAATGGTCAAACAAGCCTGAAACAAAAACAAAGACATTTCCAATTATTTAATAGCACAGCATAAACAGTTTCATAGACCTCAGTGTTAATTTTAACTAATTTGTTTCTCGTGCTCAATGCAAATATTTTCAACCGAAATGTAAACACTTTTCTATCCCGGAATGGTCATAACTGCACCTAAAATAAATATATTATTATACATCTAAACTAATATTTCACATCACTATTACATTATCAAATGGTTACAAATCAATGCATAACTTACAGGGTATCTGCTACTCATTTATTAGGCACTCTACATCATATTTTGACCACATGCTGAATGTGTATTCGTCTCGTGCGATCCGTGTTGACACTTCATTTATACCCGTGCAAAATAATACCGGGCATGTCATTTCCGGTTCGTTTTATTCTTTCAATTAATTAAAGCCGTTATTATTTACACATCCACAAAAATCAATGTTGCGTGCGATCTTCCTGTTTTATTACAGTTGTATTTATCAAATGCCTTTATCTTCAAGATTGTCTCCATGTTAGTTTTCTGACGTACCGACATGGAGAAATAAATCATAAAATACACAACGGTTAAACTACATGGTCATAAAGTTACACATTCGGAAGTGTAAAAAATATTTACTTTTTTTCATCTAAATAAACTCAATGTAAACCGTAAGAATAATTCCGCCTGGGATAACAAGTTGAGCCGATGTGAATGATTGATCAGCACAAACGGCAGCCATCACAGCCGAGTCGGGATCGGACGTGGGATGGGCGCTCTGCGTTTGGATCCTACTGACATTAACTGGATACTGTGATATGCTGTTTTCGTGATAATTATGTTAAGTATTGCTATTATTGGTTATTCAGATTGTTTATCTGTCGGATAAGTGCATATTAAAGAAGGATTGCAGCTTTTATTTCAAGCCATTTTGCAGTTCGTAAAGCCCGCTCATGGCGACCCGGGGAATTCCGTGACGTCATTAGGCTGCCTACTACCCTAACCAACCCAAATGATGGAAGAGGCATCGAGATTAGGGAACTAAGAGCTACAGCAGGCAGCCTGAGCCAATAAGCATGATAGGATACACCAAGTAAACTGCAATTTTGCCAATAAAAGAGTTAATGCACTGATGCAAAATGCTATTTGAATTAGCAATTCTAAAACAAGTATCCCTGAACACGGAGGATCAATTATTGATTATTGAGCTGTGAATTCAAGCGTATACACTGAAACATACAAAAAGACATCTCCACTGACAACAAAGGCATAAACAGTTCATCATATTTTGTTGTTGTCCAAGAGACCAGAGTTAAGTTTTCTTTGAATAACATAGTACAACCTGAGAGAAACGGTCATTTCCGCATCAAACACACGAAATTAGGATACACGACGTACATGTTTCGCGGTCTTGAATAGACGCGTTCCAAATTGTGGTGAACTGGAAATGGAAATATGTATGGCCGCTGTCTAGAGGCTTTATGAACAACTCTTCTTTGAAAGTGTCACTAGCTGATGCTGATCCATACGACACAAAAGAAAAGATCACAAATACAATTGCTAGCAACCGCATTTCGGCTTCCTCAATGGTGGCCGCCATTGATAAGTTTCGCAGAAAATGAAATAGGTCAACATAAAATCAACACTATAAAATCAGTCGTACCATTCACAATAATAATAAGCGTTTATTTTCATCAGATTAATTTATTGAATTCAGTGAGAGTTGACTTCGATTTCATTTATTATCGAGTCAACACACGTGCAGCAAACCGGTAAAACAAAGCATCACACTGTTTGGGACCTTGATCTTCTTTAGGGCCACAAGCAAGTTGCTGATATCTCTCCTGCGTCATCTCGACTCAGTGTTTCAGTCTTTCATTAAACAGTACTCATGTTTTGAATGCGTCATTGCAACTGATTTTATCGGGTAAGCAGGGCAGCATGTTTAAATACTTTTAGCATCCACATTATTTGTGATGATTGTAACTGTCAACCTCAGTGGCGAGAAACACGACCTGTGCCCTTCTTGCAGGTCCAGTCGCTTTTTTGCTGATGCACATTAAATGACACTAATTCAAACAGGTTTCAAGGAACAATGTTATGTAATATATCACAACTGTCATCAAATGGCTTCATCTGGTTCACCTAAAGGCACATTGTATTTTTAACCCCAAGGCTCCACTGCCTTCTCAACCCAAGCCCTGCACCCCTTGCTGTGGTAACCATATCATGGTGCTGCTCCCTATATACGTGTTTGATTTTGAGATGCCACGACATGGAGCGACGGGCTGTCCCGTAGTGTTTTAACTCGACATGCTTCAGCAAAGTGATCAAACGACAAATGCAAAATGACTCACTCCCTGAGACACTTGCCATCAATACAAGTACTTATATATATTAGATCGTGCAACATTACATTTACTTATCGAGGTGGAAACCTAACTGGTAATGATTTTGTATCTGCCAATGTGCTCAGTGATGCAGTTTTCTTAGGATTCATGTATATCATGGCAGGGTTATTAGTGTGGTATGTTCCAAATCGGGAATCTGTTTGAAAAAACGCTATGCACACATTATTAAACTTGTCCAGGGAAAGTTAAGGAATATCAAGAATATGAACAAGTAGAACTAAAAGTATTTTGCTAATATTGAATCATTCCTAGCAGTTCCACTTCTCCCATGTTTTGCATGTTTATAGGCAAGTTGTTGTTTCAGGTGGACCTGGGGACCCCTTGTTGCCATGGGGAAATACAGCAATGTGCCGATGACACGGAGAAGCCATTCTGTCGGAGGAATCAACCTCGCTCGACGACCAAAGAGAAATGTGTCAATAAAAACCTATGTGAGTTGTGTGGTGATGTTTGGATGTGTGATTCTGTGAGTTGTGTGGTGATTCTGTGAGTTGTGTAGTGGTGTTTGGATATGTGATTCTGTGAGTTGTGTAGTGGTGTTTGGATGTGTGATTCTGTGAGTTGTGTAGTGATGTTGGATGTGTGATTCTGTGAGTTGCGTAGTGATGTTTGGATGTGTGATTCTGTGAGTTGCGTAGTGATTTTTGGATGTGTGATTCTGTGAGTTGCGTAGTGATGTTTGGATGTGTGATTCAGTGTGTCGTGTGGTGATGTTTGGATGTCTCATTCTGTGAGTTGCATAGTGGTGTTTGGATGTCTCATTCTGTGAGTTGCATAGTGATGTTTGGATGTCTCATTCTGTGAGTTGCATAGTGGTGTTTGGATGTCTCATTCTGTGAGTTGCGTAGTGATGTTTGGATGTCTCATTCTGTGAGTTGCATAGTGGTGTTTGGATGTCTCATTCTGTGAGTTGCATAGTGATGTTTGGATCTGTGAGTTGCGTAGTGATGTTTGGATGTGTGATTGTCTGAGTTGGAATGCCTCCATGGTCTAATGGTAGAGCCACTGCCACTGGGGTTCGATCCCCCGCAATCTCATTACAATCAGATCTTAGTTCTCGCTACCGCTAAACAAAGATCTGAGGACACCCTATTACGGGTCATGTTAGACCGACCTTGTGCGAACTTAGACCGACCAATGGAATGATTGACGAGATGTCGACATTAGCCAATCAGAATGCAGCTTTCTTGTACTTTACGGCACTAATTTCAAATTGGCAAATACACTTCGAAATATATTATGACAAATTCTCGATTAAAAATTTGAAATCCGGAATGGCTAATAGATGGTCTAGATTGTATGGATTCAGTTGTTAAGCCCATAACTATCGTTTGGAATAACCCATGTTAAAGTTTTTGAGGTTGCATGATTAGAAATCACATTCCGACTATCACTTTTTATGATCTGTTAACCTAGTTCTGATTGGTCGGATGAAAGGTCCTTCTGATGTGACCCCTAATGGGATGTCCTCAGATCTTTGTTTAGCGGAAGAGATAACTAAGATCTGATTTTAATGAGATTGGATCCCCTGCCATGTCATACCAAAAGACATTTAAAAGATGGTACTTGTTGTTACCCTGCCTGGTGCTGGGCATCAAGGGGATAAAACGAGGATTGGTCAGCTCGGAGTCCGTATACTGTGTCTGATTGGGGTATTCATGTTAAGCTGCGACATGGTATCTCAGTTGGCTAGCACTATAAAATCAGCATAAGTCCGTACTTGTACAAGCAGTTGTAAGGAGTAGGTTGTGTGTGACTCATTCAATTTCTTCTGTTGTAGGATGACACGATGGGATTATCGCGCACAGAGGAACGCGAGCTGAAGAAAGCACTGTATGCTTCACTGCAGGAGTGTAAACGACTGGCTCGCTACCAGCTGGATGCTGATGAACAGCATGTGCCACAACCAGTCCCTCGCCAAACTCGACCAATCAGAAGCCGATCCTGGCCATACACGCCGTCTGTGTGCAGCACGGCCACGCCCAGCACATGTGTCAGTGTTGACGAGAGCAGTCAGGACTCAGTCAAGTCTTCTGTCAGCTCTGTGGTGGAACAGAAGACCAGACAGGAGAGGTCAGTGTGCAGGCCGGGCAGAGTTGCATCCCTTGGGCATGCCAGAAACCTGTGATCGTGGGTTGGAATCCTTGTTCACCCCGATTATGTTTCTGGGTTTATTGACCATACCCGTTTTTTCAAAAGTGATTAATGTCTGAAACCTACGTCACTCTAGGTTTTCCGCCCACATCAAGCTCACATGCTGTGATATCACTGTAATATTATTCAAAGCAGCATTAAACCAAACTCACTCACTCTTACATATTTTTATACATCTGGCATTGTTTATACAAATAAAGGGAAGGTCTTGACGTTTTGTTGCTGCACGTAGAAATGAATCCGGGGACCTAACTCTGTGTTTTAACATCTGGGTTATGACATAGACACCTTGTGTTTTGTGAATATGTAATGAGTATCAGCCAGATCATGCTTGTTTAATTCTTTCAGGAAGATCCATGCACAGCGCAAGTTTGCCCAGGGGTCACTTCCTCCGACCCCAAGTACCACTCCAGTGAAGGTCAAGGCCTCTCCCATCAAACTTCTGCCGAGACGAGCCAAGACTGAGGACTTCCTGACCTTCCTCTGTCTGCGAGGTATGTTGTGTCTTGTGTGTTGTGTGTTGTGTTTTGTGTTGTGGTGTTGTGTGTGGTGTGGAATGTTGTGTCTTTTGGTGTTTGTCTCTACCTCACTGAATCTAACATCTTCCTGGCTCAGCTGTAAACAGAAATCATAGCTCTGCTGTTTCTGTCATTGCTTTGCTTACTCATCACTGTGGATTCTTAGGACTGTGTAGCTTGTTGTAACCATGGTAACAGGTGACTCGTTTGACCGGATGCTCATTGACTGGGACCACTGTGTAGCTTGCTGTAACAGGTGACTCGTTGGACCGGATGGCCATTGACCACTGTGTAGCTTGTTGTAACAGGTGACTCGTTGGACCGGACGGTCATTGACTGGGACCACTGTGTAGCTTGTTGTAACAGGTGACTCGTTGGACCGGACGGTCATTGACTGGGACCACTGTATAGCTTGTTGTAACAGGTGACTGGCTGGACCGGATGGTCATTGACCACTGTGTAGCTTGTTGTAACAGGTGACTCGTTGGACCGTATGGCCATTGACTGGGACCACTGTGTAGCTTGTTGTAACAGGTGACTCGTTGGACCGGACGGTCATTGACTGGGACCACTGTATAGCTTGTTGTAACAGGTGACTCGTTGGACCGGATGGTCATTGACTGGGACCACTGTATAGCTTGTTGTAACAGGTGACTCGTTGGACCGGATGGTCATTGACTGGGACCACTGTGTAGCTTGTTGTAACAGGTGACTCGCTGGACCGGATGGTCATTGACTGGGACCACTGTGTAGCTTGTTGTAACAGGTGACTCGTTGGACCGGATGGTCATTGACTGGGACCACTGTGTAGCTTGTTGTAACAGGTGACTCGTTGGACCGTATGGCCATTGACTGGGACCACTGTGTAGCTTGTTGTAACAGGTGACTCGTTGGACCGGATGCTCATTGACTGGGACCACTGTGTAGCTTGTTGTAACAGGTGACTCGTTGGACCGGATGCTCATTGACTGGGACCACTGTGTAGCTTGTTGGACTAGGTGACTCGTTGGACCGTATGGCCATTGCCTGGGACCACTGTGTAGCTTGTTGGACTAGGTGACTCGTTGGACTGGATGGTCATTGACTGGGACCACTGTGTAGCTTGTTGGACTAGGTGACTCGTTGGACCGGATGGCCATTGACTGGGACCACTGTGTAGCTTGTTGGACTAGGTGACTCGTTGGACCGTATGGCCATTGACTGGGACCACTGTGTAGCTTGTTGTAACAGGTGACTGGCTGGACCGGATGGTCATTGACTGGGACCACTGTGTAGCTTGTTGTAACAGGTGACTCACTGGACCGGATGGTCATTGACTGGGACCACTGTGTAGCTTGTTGGACTAGGTGACTCGTTGGACCGCATGGCCATTGACTGGGACCACTGTGTAGCTTGTTGTAACAGGTGACTGGCTGGACCGTATGGTCATTGACTGGGACCACTGTGTAGCTTGTTGTAACAGGTGACTCGTTGGACCGGATGGCCATTGACTGGGACCACTGTGTAGCTCGTTGGACTAAATGACTCGTTGGACCGGACGGTCATTGACTGGGACCACTGTGTAGCTTGTTGTAACATGTGCCTCGTTGGACCGGATGGCCATTGACTGGGACCACTGTGTAGCTCGTTGGACTAGGTGACTCGTTGGACCGGATGGCCATTGACTGGGACCACTGTGTAGCTTGTTGTAACAGGTGACTCGTTGGACCGGATGGCCATTGACTGGGACCACTGTGTAGCTTGTTGTAACATGTGCCTCGTTGGACCGGATGGCCATTGACTGGGACCACTGTGTAGCTCGTTGGACTAGGTGACTCGTTGGACCGGATGGCCATTGACTGGGACCACTGTGTAGCTTGTTGTAACATGTGCCTCGTTGGACCGGATGGTCATTGACTGGGACCACTGTGTAGCTCGTTGGACTAGGTGACTCGTTGGACCGGATGGCCATTGACTGGGACCACTGTGTAGCTTGTTGGACTAGGTGACTCGTTGGACCAGATGGCCATTGACTCGGACGACTGTGTAGCTTGTTGTAACAGGTGACTCGTTGGACCGGATGGCCATTGACTGGGACCACTGTGTAGCTTGTTGTAACAGGTGACTCGTTGGACCGGATGGCCATTGACTGGGACCACTGTGTAGCTTGTTGTAACAGGTGACTCGTTGGACCGGATGGCCATTGACTGGGACCACTGTGTAGCTTGTTGTAACAGGTGACTCGTTGGACCGGATGGCCATTGACTGGGACCACTGTGTAGCTTGTTGTAACAGGTGACTCGTTGGACCGGATGGCCATTGACTCGGACGACTGTGTAGCTTGTTGTAACAGGTGACTCGTTGGACCGGATGGCCATTGACTGGGACCACTGTGTAGCTTGTTGTAACAGGTGACTCGTTGGACCGGATGGCCATTGACTCGGACGACTGTGTAGCTTGTTGTAACAGGTGACTCGTTGGACCGGATGGCCATTGACTCGGACGACTGTGTAGCTTGTTGTAACAGGTGACTCGTTGGACCGGATGGCCATTGACTTGGACCACTGTGTAGCTTGTTGGACTAGGTGACTCGTTGGACCAGATGGTCATTGACTCGGACGACTGTGTAGCTTGTTGTAACAGGTGACTCGTTGGACTGGATGGCCATTGACTGGGACCACTGTGTAGCTTGTTGTAACAGGTGACTTGTTGGACCGGATGGTCATTGACTGGGACCACTGTGTAGCTTGTTGTAACAGGTGACTCGTTGGACCGGATGGCCATTGACTTGGACCACTGTGTAGCTTGTTGGACTAGGTGACTCGTTGGACCGGATGGCCATTGACTGGGACCACTGTGTAGCTTGTTGTAACAGGTGACTGGCTGGACCGGATGGCCATTGACTTGGACCACTGTGAGCTTGTTGTAACAGGTGACTCACTGGACCGGATGGTCATTGACTGGGACCACTGTGTAGCTTGTTGTAACAGGTGACTGGCTGGACCGGATGGCCATTGACTTGGACCACTGTGAGCTTGTTGTAACAGGTGACTCACTGGACCGGATGGTCATTGACTGGGACCACTGTGTAGCTTGTTGTAACAGGTGACTCACTGGACCCGATGGTCATTGACTGGGACGACTGTGTAGCTTGTTGTAACAGGTGACTGGCTGGACCGTATGGCCATTGACTGGGACCACTGTGTAGCTTGTTGTAACAGGTGACTCACTGGACCGGATGGTCATTGACTGGGACCACTGTGTAGCTTGTTGTAACAGGTGACTCACTGGACCGGATGGTCATTGACTGGGACCACTGTGTAGCTTGTTGTAACAGGTGACTCACTGGACCGGATGGTCATTGACTGGGACCACTGTGTAGCTTGTTGTAACAGGTGACTCACTGGACCGGATGGTCATTGACTGGGACCACTGTGTAGCTTGTTGTAACAGGTGACTCACTGGACCCGATGGTCATTGACTGGGACGACTGTGTAGCTTGTTGTAACAGGTGACTCACTGGACCGTATGGCCATTGACTGGGACCACTGTGTAGCTTGTTGTAACAGGTGACTCACTGGACCGGATGGTCATTGACTGGGACCACTGTGTAGCTTGTTGTAACAGGTGACTCACTGGACCGGATGGTCATTGACTGGGACCACTGTGTAGCTTGTTGTAACAGGTGACTCACTGGACCGGATGGTCATTGACTGGGACCACTGTGTAGCTTGTTGTAACAGGTGACTCACTGGACCCGATGGTCATTGACTGGGACCATGGGTGTGTCCGGATTATTTACAGGCTTGTGGAATGTTGCTGACAGTGCAAGTATGGCGGGATGTTGCTGACAGTGCAAGTATGGCGGGATGTTGCTGACAGTGCAAGTATGGCGGGATGTTGCTGACAGTGCTAGTATGGGGGAATGTTGCTGACAGTGCAAGTATGGCGGGATGTTGCTGACAGTGCAAGTATGGCGGGATGTTGCTGACAGTGCTAGTATGGGGGAATGTTGCTGACAGTGCAAGTATGGCGGGATGTACCTGGCGAAGGCTGCCGGTTGTTGTGGTCCCTGATGACATGTTTCCTCTTCTCCCAGGCTCCTCTGTCCTTCCTCCTCACTTGGACTTCTTCAACTTCTCCAGAGGAGAGCCCTCCCATGGGGAGATAAGCGCTCCAGAGACACCCCCACGTCCGGAGCCTGGATCCAAGTGTGAGAGAACAAGGGAGAGCACTCCCGAGTCATCCAGTGTCAGCACCAACGATGAGCTGTACGAGATAGGAACGCCATCACCCTGTAGTGTTATAGTAAGTAATACAGAGATTGATGAGCTCTACCAGAAAGCAATAGGTTGTCAACATCTAGCAATAGGTGGTCTACATCTAGCAATAGGTTAACATCTAACAGGTGGTGAGCATTTAGAAATGGGTGGTGAACATCTAGCAATAGGTGGTCAGCATCTAGCAATAGGTGGTCAACATCTAGGAAAAGGTAGTGAACATCTAGCAATAGGTGAACAGCTGGCAATAGGTAGTGAACATCTAGCAATAGGTAGTGAACATCTAGCAATATGTAGTGAACATCTAGCAATAGGTAGTGAACATCTAGCAATAGGTAGTGAACATCTAGCAATAGGTAGTGAACATCTGGCAATAGGTAGTGAGCATCTAGCAAAAGGTGAACATCTAGCAAAAGGTAGGCATCTTGCAATAGGTGAATATCTGGCAATAGGTGAACATATAGCAATAGATGAACATCTAGGAATAGGTAGTGGACATCTAGCAATAGGTAGTGAGCATCTAGGAAAAGGTGAACATCTAGCAAAAGGTGAACATCTAGCAATAGGTGAACAGCTGGCAATAGGTGGTGAACATCTAGCTATGGGTCGTTGACATCTAGCAAAAGGTAGTGAACATCTAGCAATAGGTAGTGAACATCTGGCAATAGGTGGTGATGATCTAGCAATAGGTGGTGATTATCTAGCGATAGGTGGCGAACATCTAGCAATAGGTAGTGGACTTCTAGCAATAGGTGGCGAATATCTAGCAATAGGTGGTGAACATTTAGCAATAGGTGAACATCTAGCAATAGGTCGTGGACTTCTAGCAATAGGTGGCGAACATCTAGCAATCAGTGAGAATCTAGCAATAGGTGGTGAACATCTAGTAATAGGTGGTGAACATCTTGCAATAGGTAGTCTTGTGAGCAACTTTCTGCACAGGCAGACTGTCAGCAGACTTGCTGTGCTTCATATATTTCTTGTAACAGTCAGTCAGAAAAAGCCTGTGCTACTCATGGGGATCCTGCATGGGCAGCTAACTTGGATGAGGTCACATTAAGGGACTTGTCAATCGCTTGTTGTCGTAGAGATAGCATATGGAGTGTTGCTCATGATGTCAACCACTAGTTTGTCTGACCCAGACTTGAGTATTTAAAAGCTGCTGTTATGTAGCTTAAATTGCTGACTGTGGTAAAACAAGTTTTCATATAGGCCAGTTTATGTTTGAGAAGCTGACATTACAGTTGTTGTTACTCTCCCCAGGCCAATGGGCGGAACGGCGTGAGTGCCAGGAAAGCAGCCCGAGCCAGCGCCAGCACGCCGGAGACAGCCCGGGGCATCGTCAGCCTCAGTCAAGGCCTCACCAAGAAAGCTACACGCGTAAGCACCCCACATCGTGGTCGAAAATCAGGTTCAGTGGACAAAACTCCTTCCCCACGGAAAGGGTCTCCACTTGTCAGGGGGTCGCCATCTAAACGAGGCTTTGCTGTGAAAAGCTTGTCGCCTCAGTTCTCAAAGACGCCTCCAAAAAAGAAGCTTAGCCTCAAGCAGAAAGCTCTGCTTCCCTTCATGCCTCGTAAAGCAAGCACTAAACATGGCAGCCACAGAGAGGCCAGCTCAAAGCAGGCTGTGCTTGAGGGTAGTCAGGTAAATAATGCTGGAACTGAAGCTCGCACGCTGCTTTGCATAGGTCTGCTCGTCTCCGCTCGGTCTTTGCATGCACTGATAATCATGAATTTTCTGTCTGCCAGCCTTGCCTCATCTTTCCTTGCTTGTCGGGTAGCGTAGCTAGCCGTTGTCCTTGTGTTTGTAGAAGGGCTGTAGACCGTAGGGTGTACTCAGGGACTGGGACAGTGGCTCTAACATACTTTATGGGGGTGGGGAGAGGCTGTCATGGGAAGGGTAAGGGGACCAACTGTCGCCATGTAGGTCAAAGGGGGATGGAACTGATGAGAGGGAAATGTTTGAAGTTTCAGTCATCTAAGCAAAACCCATGAGTCCAAAAGACAAACACATGAGGTCTTGTACAGGAATGTCTGTTGACAATAGGAATGATGGTTTTCTGTTTAAACAGCCTCAAGTAACATATTTTTGGCGAGCTCAGCGTCTTCATGACACAGTAGAGAAATTATGGTGGAAAAGTGGCTATGTCATTGAGCGGGATCAGTGTGGCACTTTGACACCTGACCTGAAGATCCCACTTCTGTCACCTCAATCAGGCTGTCCGGCATCTGACCAGAAGATCCCACTTCTGTCACCTCAATCAGGCTGTCCGGCATCTGACCAGAAGATCCCACTTCTGTCACCTCAATCAGGCTGTCCGGCATCTGACCAGAAGATCCCACTTCTGTCACCTCAATCAGGCCGTCCGGCATCTGACCAGAAGATCCCACTTCTGTCACCTCAATCAGGCTGTCCGGCATCTGACCAGAAGATCCCACTTCTGTCACCTCAATCAGGCTGTCCGGCATCTGACCAGAAGATCCCACTTCTGTCACCTCAATCAGGCTGTCCGGCATCTGACCAGAAGATCCCACTTCTGTCACCTCAATCAGGCCGTCCGGCATCTGACCAGAAGATCCCACTTCTGTCACCTCAATCAGGCCGTCCGGCATCTGACCAGAAGATCCCACTTCTGTCACCTCAATCAGGCCGTCCGGCATCTGACCAGAAGATCCCACTTCTGTCACCTCAATCAGGCTGTCCGGCATCTGACCAGAAGATCCCACTTCTGTCACCTCAATCAGGCTATCCGGCATCTGACACAAAGATGCCAATTCTGTCACCTCAATCAGGCTGTCCGGCGTCTCCTGACCAAAGGATCCAACTAAAGTCACTTCAATTTGGCTGTCCAGAATCTGACCCAACGATGCCACTTCTGTCACCTCAATCATTCTGTCCGGCATCTCCTGATGAGTGGAAAGTTCCTGCAGAGCTTAAATGTCCAAAGCATTCCATTGTGACTGAACTTCCTGAGTGTCCGGAGCATCAAGAGTCCCAGGCTGTAGTCAGGGTGGAGGATGGACGCGGGGAAACTTACCTCCCAGTTCTTGATGAACAGACTGGAGTCTTCAAATTAGAAATAAGGGCTAGTAGATTACACAGTCTTCGTGAACACACAGATGGTGGCAAATCAATGTCCCAGATCATGTCACAGTCAGACGACTTAGATGAAGGTACGGAGACAGGAGGAGGTGTTTTGGAAGAAATAGATGATGTCACTTCTCAGACTGGCGGCGGTGGAGCAGATACTGTTCACACCGGAACAAAGCCAAGGGATCCGACTGTTCCAGATCTCTCACAGACAGCATGTTTTGTTACAATAGTTTATGAACAAAGAAGACGCAGATGTGTTGAGGATGACAATATTCAGAATTTGCCGAGGTACATCACATCTGAAACAAGACATGACCCAGGGCTTGCATCACAGGTGAATGTTCTATTCCCCGAGATGGAACCTCCTGGTATTGAAAACCATCCAGAGACCCAAGTTGTGCACAGTCAGTGTAACAGTCAGCCTCAGTGTGTGGAAGGTCAGTCTGTACATGATACCTTTCAGTCTGACAAACACACTCGCCAGGCATCCAAACAAGATACATTTGAAGAATACCTCAAGAACCTGCCCCAAGAATGTGTGATTGGCCTGGGACATGTTCAGCCCACTGAATTGAGTTACATGTCTAGTTCAGGCACGTCTATATCAGATGCTCCTTGTGAAGGATGGACAAACAATAGTGCAGGAATGGCTTCCGGACACAGGGGAAGGATCATGGCGGCTTCTTTGCTTCCACATAGACAAGTTGAGTGGCAGCCAGACTCCGGAATCACATCTGATGGAAAGATTCTGAATTTAGAGACCAGTGAATGGCCAACACAGAGAGGAAATATGTCCTTCAGACATGACGACCTGGACCTGGTGCAGGATTCTCCAATGCTGAAGCCAGTGAACGATGTCGCCTGTGGTCACCAGGGGATGAGGGGCACATGTGAAGATGCTTGTGCCACGGAGGACTTGCTGCTGAGTTGTGTGGATGACAGATACTTCAGTGGAGATGACAGATACTTCAGTGGAGCGCTGTCACCATCAGATGATTACTTCTACCAGGACTTGTTGAAGCCGTGTCCAAAGTCTTGTCGTCTTGACGATCTGCTGTGGCCAGATGTTCCTGAGAGAGGTGATGCAAGATTTCACTCCCACGTTGAACTTCCAGATGAATTTTACGGCACAATGGAGGAGGGTCGATCCCCCTTGGACGGTGGAGAGCCACTTTATCAGAGTGTAACCCCGGGGTTAGAGTTCCACCAGGGGGTTGATCCAGGGCTCAGTGGGGCACTGGGTAATAGTCCAAGATCCCTGCAGATCCACCACAATGTTCATGAAGAAAAAGAAAGACGTATCTGCTCTAAGTATTCTGGAGAATTGGATAGTTTTGAAATTATTTCCTCATATAGAAACAGACATGTGCAGCTTAAAGATATAAGTACAAAACCCCGAGAATCACTCTCAGTACATTGTCATAACGTGCATTGTAGCCATATTGGAAGGATGTCCTCACACACTGGACAATCCCCTAGGGAACAGTTGTCATTGATGGGGAGGAACAGTTTCTGTAGACACAGCCAGGCGTGGCAGACACAGGAGCCAAGGCAAGGGGAAGGGTCCAAGCCCATGACAAAACTTCGGGAAATGTTACTGTGTGCTGATGTCGCTGCATGTGGAAGGACCTCTGATGGTCTTCAGAAGGAAGTGGACAATGATGCTGATGTCGCTGCATGTGGAAGGACCTCTGATGGTCTTCAGAAGGAAGTGGACACTAATGCTGATGTCGCTGCATGTGGAAGGACCTCTGATGGTCTTCAGAAGGAAGTGGACAATGATGCTGATGTCGCTGCATGTGGAAGGACCTCTGATGGTCTTCAGAAGGAAGTGGACAATGATGCTGATGTCGCTTCATGTGGAAGGACCTCTGATGGTCTTCAGAAGGAAGTGGACACTAATGCTCATGTTGCTGCATGTGGAAGGACCTCTGATGGTCTTCAGAAGGAAGTGGACAATGATGCTGATGTCGCTGCATGTGGAAGGACCTCTGATGGTCTTCAGAAGGAAGTGGACACTAATGCTGATGTTGCTGCATGTGGAAGGATCTCTGATGGTCTTCAGAAGGAAGTGGACAATGATGCTGATGTCGCTGCATGTGGAAGGACCTCTGATGGTCTTCAGAAGGAAGTGGACAATGATGCTGATGTCGCTTCATGTGGAAGGACCTCTGATGGTCTTCAGAAGGAAGTGGACACTAATGCTCATGTTGCTGCATGTGGAAGGACCTCTGATGGTCTTCAGAAGGAAGTGGACAATGATGCTGATGTCGCTGCATGTGGAAGGACCTCTGATGGTCTTCAGAAGGAAGTGGACACTAATGCTGATGTTGCTGCATGTGGAAGGATCTCTGATGGTCATCAGAAGGAAGTGGACAATGATGCTGATGTTGCTGCATGTGGAAGGATCTCTGATGGTCTTCAGAAGGAAGTGGACACTAATGCTGATGTTGCTGCATGTGGAAGGATCTCAGATGGTCATAAGAAAGAAACAGATGTCTCCAACAGCTCCTACAGCTCCTCTTCTGCTGGGCCGACTGATCCCCAGGCAGAACATGGATGCTGTAGAACCCAGGACAGTCCTGCAGCAGTTTCTCCAGTGGGGTACCGGGTGAAAAGGATAATTGTGAAACCGAGACAGTATTCTTCAGCAACCGACAGCCCACCCCTAGAGATCCGAGTAATTGAGAGTTTGTCTCCTGAAACTATTTGGGAGGATCAAAGACATGTTACACTTGGTCGAGTCATCGGTTATACCCCATCCTCGTCTGTCACTCCGAGGACAACAGGGACAAGTACTGAGGTTTGTTCTGTGTCCTGCCAGGGAGACAGCAGAGATGCTACCGCTGCTGGTGATGTTGGTGATATTGAGGGGGATGACCTGGATTCAGCCCTTGCATCACTAGCTGCTCAGTGTGAAGCCATGAGAACAAGGAAGAGACGAGCATCTCTTCTCCTTGGAAGAAGATCTAATGTTGGTACGCAAACTGTGTACGACATAAAGAGCGAGTTTAGGCCTTCACTCTCTGACAGTCCTCGTCCCCGACCGTGTGAGACATCGAACTGTAGGACGAACCTGAGAAACAAATGTGACACTTTGGCCTGCTGGAAGCCAAGGAAGACATTCTTGTGGAAGGAAAGTGAAAAGCCTAAAGTGAAAAAGGTTGAAACGGCGATGTCCAAATCAGATGAGAACTGCCATTGGAAACAAGGACATGATCTTTTCCCAAGCAAACAGTTGGGGAAACAGCCGAAAACATGGACTAAAATATCCTCCAACAAACCTGGTAGGGTGGGATTGCCCAGTGTCGGATCGGCAACACACAGAGGCCAGAACCGAGAAACTCTGTACACAGACACATCAGGAGACCTTGGACGGAGTGTACAGGTCACCAAACAAGAAAAGAAGCTGATGGAAATAACAAGGTCCTCTTCAGGACCAAAGCCGATACACTCTATGACCTTGGTCACAGATAAATCTGACCTTCACTGTCTCCAGCTGGATAAGAGACCAGATACTGTGGTCAATCTGAAAGTCTGTTCCCCCGACACTGCTAGTGTTTCCCAACACCGCTTAGAGACCAATCCGAGCCAAGGGCCATCAGCCAGTGGTGTGCCACACACAGAGTCCAACAGTTTGACTGCACCAAGAGAATCCAGAACCAATATTGATCCACCGACGCACATTGGTGCACGTCAGAGGGTTCCGCTTAAAAAATGTGCCAAGAAAACCAACATGGAAATTTGTCCTGTGCGAGCCTCAGCTGAAATTGTCCCCCTTTGTCCCCCACCATACAGTGTTCAGAAATGTGTGGAGGAGGCGGGAAGAATGGGAATCAAGAACAAGACGAGTCACGGTAGGCGACATGACACATAACAAATAACACATAACACACGGTGTGACATGACACACTCCAGACTGGCTCACACACTGCATAGAGTGTCACTGAGAATGGAGCTATATGGTTGGCTAATAGTAATGTACACTACGACATAATGCTGAAGTATTAACTGCACACTGCTACATAATGCTGAAGTATTTACTGTACACTGCTACATAATGCTGAAGTATTTTCTATACACAAATTAATGGTGAAATATTTACTTTACACTTTTACATATAAGGCTGAAGTATTTACTATACACTTTAATATAAGGCTGAAATATTTTCTGTACACTGCTGCATAAGGCTGAATTATTTACTGTACACTGCTACATAAGGCTGAAATATTTTCTGTACACTGCTAATTAATGCTGAAATATTTTCTGTACACTGCCAAACAATGCTTAAATGTTTACTGTTCACTGATAAACTGCTGAAATATTTACTGTATACTGCTACATTATGCTGAAATATTAAGTGTACAATGCTACATAAGGCTGAAGTATTTTCTCTAGACTGCTAAACAATGCCTAAATATTTTCTGTACACTGCTACATAATGCTGAAGTATTTACTTAGACTTTTAAATAATGCTGAAGTATTAACTTACACTGCTACATAAGGCTGAAGTATTTACTGTATACTGCTACATGATGCTAAAGTACTAAGTTGACACTGCTACAAAAGGCTGAGACCCGTGAAGACCCGTGGTAGAATAGGTCTTCAGCAGCCCATGCTTGCTGTAAAAGGCGACTAACAGGATCGGGTGGTCAGGCTCGCTGACTTGGTTGATGCATGTCATTGATCCCATATGCGTGGATTGATGCACATGATATTAATAACTGGATTGTCTGGTCCAGACTTGATTATTTACAGACCGCCGTCACATAGCTGGAATATTGCTTATTGCGGCTTTAAAAACAAACCAACCAACCAACATAAGGCTGAAGTATTTTCTGTAGACTGCTAAACAATGCTGAAATATTTACTGTACACTGCTAAACAAGGCTGAAATATTTACTGTACACTACTACATAATGCTGAAGTATTTTGTGTACACTGCTACATAAGGCTGAAGTATTTTCTGTAGACTGCTAAACAATGCTGAAATATTTACTGTACACTGCTAAACAAGGCTGAAATATTTAATGTACACTGCTACATAATGCTGAAGTATTTTCTGTACACTGCTACATGAGCTTAAATATTTTCTCTACTCTGCTACATAAGGCTGAAATATTTACTTACACTACTACATAAGGCTGAAATATTAACTGTACACCGCTACATAATGCTGAAGTATTTTCTATAAACTAATAAACAATGCCGAATTAGTCTGATGTTGACAAGAATGAATGAAGCTCTGCTTTTGAACATCTGCTTGCTGTGCTGCAATACCTCCCTACTGTAGTGTGTGTTGTACTCATTACCCTCCTGTCCCCCACCACACGCTCAGTGGACCAGTCTGTTGTCATGCTATTCTCTTCTCCTCCCTGTGTTCAGCAACCAGTGTTGACAAAGTACAGTTGTCAGATCAGAATACAGTGTATGGTGCTGGGCGGCTGTTCCCACCACCCCCCTGTGTTATGGCATGTGGTATATGTGAGGTCAGTGAACAGGTCACTTAAAGGGCAAGTGAACTAGAAAACATGAGTGCAATTTTGTTGCGAACATCAATTTTCCTAGATACAGTATATTCGTAAAAGTACTTCAATGTCCACGTGAAAGTGCTGGAGTCACACTCTCACTGTTATCGGCTTCTAATACAAGGAGGTGTGGCCTAAGGGACCAGCGATGCGTGCGTGACACAGGCTGGCTGATATGGAGTAGTATAGGTAATGGGGGTTCTGCCGCAACTCCACTGGAGCAGGATTTATATACCTATACTGCTACTACAGGGGGAATTTTTTATGCGTAAATGATGATGCGATTTAATGATAGTCATAAGATTAAGTTAAATTGGCTCTAGCTCACCAATACCTGGGGTCAATCATTGCTTCTATTAGTATAAAAATGATGATGTGATTCAACGAAAGTCGTTTTAAAAGAAATATCAATATTAATTAATAATGGATAAAATTTACTATAGCCCACGAGGATATTGGAAAGGTGTAGGAGCAATAAAAAAATTAGCCACCACGGCTAAGGTATCTAAAGATGTGGCCAAGGATTGGTTAAAGAAACAAGCGATGTGGCAAATATATTTACCGGCACCGCGTTATATACCGAGGAAAAAGTTTGATATTTTTACAACGAATGAAGTTCATCAGGCTGACCTCTTGTTTCTTCCCCACGATAAGGTAAGACGCAAAACGTATAAATACGCTTTAACCGTAGTGGATGTGGCTAGTCGATACAAAGAGGCTGAGCCATTAACCTCGAAAGAATCAACAGAAGTAGCTAATGCACTGAGTCGCATTTATAAATGCGGACCGCTAAAATGGCCTAAGATATTTCAAGTAGATCCCGGTCGCGAGTTTATGGGATCGGTAACTAAACTGTTAACAAAGAACGATGTCGAAATCGTCCGTGGTGAAAGAGAGGCCCACCGCAGTCAAGCTATCGTCGAAAGATTTAACCGGACATTAGCGGAACGTTTGTTTGGCGATCAGTATGGGATCGAAATGAAATCCGAGCGATTGAGATCAACCGAATGGGTGACACGATTATCAGCCGTTGTATCAGCGCTGAATAATGAAGTAACGAGATTAATAGGGAAGAAACCATCCGATGCTATTAAAATGAAATCCGTGACTTCCGAATCTTCAGCACCGAGGAGAGGCAAAGAACGAAAACTTCCGGATAGAGTAAGGGTAAGATATTTATATCAGCCCGGTGAACTCGAAGGAGGCCAACGTCGTGCAACCGATCCCATATGGTCCCTTAAGACATATAACATTAGTAGATTGGTTTCGAAAGAAGGAGAGCCTATTCTTTATTATCTTCAAGATGGACCGGGTAGGGCATTTGTACGAGAAGAGTTGTTCATAGTTCCCGACGGTACGGTATTACCACCATAACCATAAGCATAGGTATTTACACCATCATTATCAATCCATCTCTTTGTATCTAAGGGGGATAATGATGTCTTGTTCATTCTTAATCCATATATCCTATGATCGTAACTTCTTAAAGAGTTCATCTCGTGTTTGAACGTTCTACCGTTGAATAATGATTCTTTATACTGTTCGTGTTTGATATGCTTTTTTACAACATACTTCTTAACGCCCTTAGCTTTTCTTATCTCTCCATTATCGGACTTCTTTATAGAATACATCTTAGGTCTTAATCCTACATACTCCGCTATAGGGGTCCCAGCACATTCATCCTTCATCTTACCTAACACCTTTTTATTTACAACGCTGTGCAGTGGATTATCTTTAGGATAATCGCTCGTGTCGTACATATCTATTTTTTCTGCCATATCTTTATACACATCCTCGGTTTGTATTTCCATCAACAAAGAATCTGTGTCGGTATATAACACCTCGCATCTATCACCGTATTGCTTCTTAAGTTCGTTGTAATAAAAGTCATACATTAAGTGTTTTGACAAGTCGAGAATACTCATACCGACGTACACCGGTCTGTTGAATTTTATATTACTCTTCTGCATATGCAACGCGGCTAAGTCGTTATCGAATATCTTGCTTCTGTTAAAAGCCGGACTGGCTATAAGTTTCCTGAGTCTTTCTTCCTCATTAGATCTGACTAATTTAACATCAACACGCTTCCTTAGATTCTCCATAGTTTTACCAAATACCGAGTTATTCATGAGCTTATATAGATTCTTTTCGAAATCACTGGTAGCCATCTTTCTTAAATCTGTGTTCAACCTTATATAGGGCTCCATCCAAGGGCTTTCATCGAACTTTAGAACTCTGTGTATTTTCTTAAGTTTCATACCTAACGATAGATACAACTGGAGATTTCTGTAGTGAACTATATATTTTGTCTTATCCATCAAATTTGGTACGAGTTTTTCTACGTTAGCTAACCTACTATTACCCATCAAGGAGCGTTGATATTCCGACATCCAATCTTTATTAACCATTAATCTTTCGGGAGCTAGGGGATAACTGTTATGATCTTTATGTAACGAACTTGGATATTCCAAGTCAACTTCTAGTATGTACCCTTTATTCGCATCATTATTATGGATATTCACAACACTGATATTATCGATATCATCGATCCATTCAAAACCACCCGTGGGTAAAGGTTGACTCATAGCCCATCCGTACAAATTGTTAGCGTCGAGATATAATATGTGCGTGTCGGGTTTACTGGGATCGTATCTTTCCACTAATTTATTATTAGCCTTAGAATACCTTTTAGCTGCCATCGATATACCACCTCTTAATCCTTTCTCAATAAACAAGTGCATATCGTAATCTGTTAGTAATTTTAGTTCTACACCGGTCTTCTTCAACAATGCATCCCACGATAGTCCGGGACTGGAATAGTACCATGCCGGGTCCAAGCCGTATTGTTTGAAACACGTCTTTCTAAATATCTCGAATATATCGGCGAGTAACAGTACATCGGTTTTTAAGTACAGATCGTGATAATCGCCTAAATTCTTACAACCTAATTTATCCCAGACCGTCAGAGCGTGTTCATAATCGGCATCTGTTATTCTAGATTCTGTTAAGTTACTATAGAATGATTCGAGGGGTGGTAATTCAGTTTCGTCGAATCTAGACCAATCATCCATATATTCGTAAGGATATACACCTTTTCTCAGCAACAAATGACGAGTTATCTTATCGGTATATTTATTTGTTATCGCGAAGTCATCGGGATTGTTCGCATTAGCTAAATTGTCCAGGGAAGATAACAGAAACTGTACGGAGTCTATGAATCTAAGCCCATTACTTTGCTTTGTTCTAGATTTCCCATCCTTGTCCCTATAATGTATAGGTTTAGTCAACGAGAACGATATGTATTTTTCCATATTGTTAGGAATGCACGTTAAACCGCCGTCGGTCTTCGAGATAGCTTGCATAATGAGATGTGAATCGTATCCTCTAAGGTTATGAAACACAACGGGGATGGGTATTGTTTGAGAATTCATTTTTAGTTTCAAGTTACACTCGTTATGAGCGGCTCCCCGATAATTACCCGTGACGTGACAATGATCTCTTACGGAATCCCCATCCAGGGGTTTGTTACAAACGTGACAACTCGTTGACTTCTTATAGGCACTCCAATCATCCCTCGTCATACGCATGGGTATCTTACACGATAATTTTTCCCTGATTATTCTCTCTTCATTTTGTAGATATTCTAGGAAATTTCCCGCTGCATCGGGACCTCTGTAAATCACGGGCGGGTTTGTTTTCCCATCATACCTTACAACTATATATCCAAACCCACAAGGAATATGTTCTTGAGTTTTGTACGTAAAACTATTATCAGTATTGCTACGGTTGGTATTTTCTATGGGTTTGATAAGCGCTTCGAAGTCGGCGTAAATTACGTACGGTACTGGCATTTGATTACAATAATGTTCAAATTTTAATATATTTTTTCCTTCTTTAGGCATATCGATCCTGATAGCATTCTGTCCAACACCTCTACAGTCTTCTTTATGCGCTTCTAATAGATCTTGTCTGCTGTACCCATGTAGGCATCTTTCGCAGAAATATTTCTTTTCTTTATGTTTTGTTTGATCGTATAGTAGCCTGTTTAAACTCTTTATCCACGTATAATGATATTTACCATCTTTTTCGATCAGAAATGAATTGATTCTGGGGATATGTTCCGGAGCGGAGCTTATCCTGTGTACAACAATTCCTTTAGAATGTCCGAAAACATTTATAGCTAAATTATTTTGCTTTTCTACCTTATCAATTTGTGATATTGGTGTAGGTTCGTCTATACCATCGAAGTTGAGTCCATCGTTTTGAGGATAGCTAGAAGGTCTATTTGCAATTTTAGAATCTACGGGGAACAATGCAGATCTTATCATTCTTAAACAGTCATCGGATTTATTTTTTACGTTAATTATGGCTTTTTTCTTCTTATAATACGGGGGTAAATCTATATAAGATCCACCTTTGAAGGGCATATAATTCGCTATATCTAAATATAAACTATCGATTTTATCCACACCCCAACCCGAACCTCTATTAGTCCAGCGTTCTAAAGTTTCCTGTATTCTCTGAATTGATGTATCTAATGATGAGTTTATAGTATCGGATTCGGTTATAACTTCTTGATTGCTTCGGAAATATGGTTCGGTATATTCGGTGCTATCGTCTGTGTTACTTTTACTCAATGTCATTTTAATCGTCAGCTGGTATTTTATACTATGTAAATCATCTAATTCCTCGTTAATTTTACTCGATATGATGGGCTTAATATCGTTAACATCCATGTTGGAATTAATATCCATCTTCCAACCTCTTAGATATTTACCAACGCCGGCGGATGTGGGTACAAATATTAATTCTTGTTGTTGATGATCATCATTATCATTATCAACATTATTATGTTGAATATCATCATTAGGTTGATTATTATCTAGTAAAGCGATCAATTCAGCTCTTCTCATTCGAGAATAACCTCTCAGCCCACCGTTTCTCGCTCGAACTTTGAGTTC